AATACGTAGACTTCGTCTTTCTCACGGGAATAGACTACCCGGCAACGCGTGTTAGGCGCTGACTTATCCTTACTTAGGATTCAGGATAAAAATCCCCAGACTCGGATTCTGGTGTCTTCTTCAATCGGTAAAAGACTAAACCGGCAACGCGTGTTAGGCGTTGACTTATCCCTGCTTAGGCTTCGGGATAAAATTCCCCGTGCGTGTGAGGCACGGATTATGGTGTTATTAATAACAACCTGCCACAATGTTGAATATGTGGTCTTTTGTCCTTTTTACGGTCAAAGACTAACCGGCCATGTGTGTTAGACATAGGCTTTGGGATTTTTGGCAAACCCCCAGCCATCAACGGGTTTGACGTGCCTTTACCGATTACCGTTTGAATCGGGCTAGCATGTGAATTATTAAAACCCGTTTCACATGTAACGTTGTGCTAAGAGAATTGCTTCTCTTAGACTTAATGCTATGATTTTGAATACATAGACTTCGCCATTTCTTACGGGAATATGGCATCCGGCAACGCGTATTAGGCGTTGACTCATCCCTACTTAGGATTCGGGATGAAAGTCCCCAGAATTATACTCTGGTGTCTTTTTCAATCGGTGAAAGACTAAACCGGCAACGCGTGTTAGGCGTTGGCTTATCCCTGCTTAGGCTTCGGGATAAAATTCCCCAGACTGGATTCTGGTGTCTTTTTCAATCGGTGAAAGACTAAACCGGCAACGCGTGTTAGGCGTAGGCTTATCTCTATTTAGGAGTTGAGATAAAATTCCCCGTGCACAAAGTGCACGGATTGGAAGTTGGGAATTGTGTCTTTTCTCAGGGTAAAGACGGACTGGAAAATGGAAGAGGAAGAATTTTATATTCTATCTCCCGGCACTGAAGAGGAAGAATTTTATATTCCATCTCCAGTTGGAAAGGAAACTCAAGGTGGGCTCTCCACCCCCAGAATCCGAAATGATGAAACTAAGAGTGGGATCTCCACTCCGAGAATCGGAAAGATTCAAACGACCCTAACTTTTATAGGATTGGTCATTTGATCCAAAAAGAGTCCCTCATTTATTGAGGGGAAATTCCGATTTCGACCCTAACTTTTATAGGTTTGGCTGAAAAAGGAAAAGATGGAAGTCTTTCGTTTATCGAAAAAGAATGACTCGGTCTTAGTCTCAACTATCTATAGGTTTGACTAAGTGAGATTGGGAATAATCCTAACTTTTATAGATTTGATTGCTTAATTTTTTGAAAGTGGACCTCTCGTTCATGGAAGGAATCGAGAGGGGACTTTGGTTGTGGCCCTAACTATAGGAAGGTTTGACCAGGTAGACAGTGAGAGTGGGAGTACAAATCATAATGGAGGTTTAGTGTTTATCATTTTGTTTGTAATTATCGGGTTATCCCTAAGAAAATTACATATAGCGTTCTTCTGGGAACTTCCTATTACATGAATCATCCACCCCCAGCTTCTTTCTTGGAACTGGGTCTGACTTTGTACTCTGTTACATGTCCGGGTTATCCTTAAGAATATTAGCGTAACATTCTCCAGGAACTTCCCGTGAAAGAAAGGAAACAATTTAGACTCATATACCTGTTGGAGTATGAGGGAGCAGTTTAACCTCATATACCGATTAGAGGATTGAGAAGCAGTTTATACTCGTATACTCTTCGGAGTATTGCCGTTCTTATTTGGCTTATCCTAGCGTTATGACGCCGGCTTCAACCAAGGTTTGGATGCTATTCTTTAAAGTAAAGCAAGCCTTGGTGGGATGAAGGATCCTCCTGTGGTACGCGCAGTACCTCGGATCCGCAGTATTGTCAGCTTCCTCCTGATTCGTGATGGGCGGCAGCTTGATCTTGTTGCTTTCAAGAAGGGTCTCGAAGATGGCTAGAATGTCTTCGTCCTTGAATGAGTACTCTTTTTGGAGCCTCGGATCCGAACTATTCTGCTGTCTTCGGGATTGTTGTTGCGACGTATGATTAACGTCAACAACTGTTGTAGGTGTCTTCCCTTCATTATGGGAAATGAGACTCGGATTCAGAGGGTTAGTCATCGGTTGGCATCTTTCAACCTTCCTCCTCCTAAAGAATCATTCGGCCTGCTCTCCGCGCGCCTTCAACTCTCTCCAGGTATTGAGTGGCTCTACTCCCATAACGTCCAAGATGTTAATGGACAAGTTGTTATGACAGGTTTGCAAGACGAATTCCTCTGTGACGGGATCCTTGCAGTTCATTGCCTGATTGCGAAAGAGTTTGATGAAGGTATCCACCGACTCTCCGTCTTTTTGTTTCTCATCGAAGAGTGTCCTGATCCACACTTCGGCGTCATCATCGAAGAAATGAGCGAGAAACATGCTTTCCAGGTCCTCCCAGCTGTTGATGCTTCCGGGCTTGAGACGGCGGTACCAATCGAAGGCGGGCCCGCAAAGGGTGCCAACAAATGACCGGACCATCAGAGGCTCGTTACCAGAGATCACTCCCAAATGGGACTCGAAATAGATCAGGTGCTGAGTGGGGGAACCCTTCCCGTCGAACGGCGTGAAGTTGATCAGGTTGAACTTCACCGGATACGGGATCGAATCCCACTCTTTCGGGTAAGGACATGGAATGCCGGTCTTCTTTACTTCTTGAGCAGACATTAAAGCATTAATTTTGCTCTCGAGATCCTTCATCTTTTCGTCCTCGTCTATATCCTGTTTTGAAAAATTTTCGAGAGGAATAATGCGGCCACCCCCAGTGTTATCATTATTGGTGGGTCTACCCCCAGCGTCGTTATTTTTAGTGGGGCCACCCCTTATCCACATCTGAATCGCTACCTGCTTTGTTAGCAGTGTTGCGACGGCTGGACTCACCTAGCTGATTTGACAAAGTTCGGATTTGTTGGTCATGCATTTGTCTCATCTCCTGCATAGCTATTTCAATCTCGATTTTAAAGGCTTCTTTCTGCTTGGCTAAAGCGTCCTCAATGATTTTGGTTATTTTCTCGGTGTTGGTCATGAACACTTCCCGAGCTTCGCCTATGCTAGACGTTATATCGTCAGAGGCGATTGCGGAATAAGAATCTGAGAGTTCGTCATCGGAATGTATTCCTTCATGGACACCCTGGTAATCATTATGTCCAACGGTTTCTAGCTGAAGTTGAGATCACTACAACACCTGAAATCTACCATAGCGGCCGAAAAACGCTATGGTATCATTTCATAGCGTTTTAATCAACGCTGTGTCAGAACCCGCTATAGTAGGTCTATGGCTTTACATAGCGTTTCCCCAAACGCTATCAAAAAGTTTCTAACCATAGCGTTTTTATGTAGCTATAAAAGAGTATTCAATAGCGTTTCTATATTGCTATGACAAATATCTTTCATAGCGGTTGAAAAACGCTATTAGTTAGTTTTCATTCATAGCATTTCAACGCTACTATTGTCTTACATTTGATAGCGTTTGAGTTACTACAATGGCGTTTCAGCGAATGCTGTCTTTCTTCTTTTAATAGCATTTCAGCAATTGTTTTCACTTCTTATAGCATTTCAGTTGTGCCTATAAATCTTTGAGGTTAAACTAGAAATAGCTTCCAATTATGACAACCATGAAAGCAAATATTTCATTTAAAGGTTCAAACTGATACATAACCAAGTTGTAGCATACAAGAAGTTCAATACAAATGTGCCAAAAAACAAATACTAGTCTTTGGATAATCCAACATGGAGTACAAAAAATTAACCATAGTACACAGAACAACAAAAACTAACTTTGCTGCATTACATATGACTTGGGAGACTCATCATCTTCAGCAATTGAGTACTAGTACTGCTGCAAAAATAGAAATTAACAACACCAATAATGAGATCTTAGAACCATGAATATATGGACACAAAACAGAAAACAACAGCACCAATAATTAAAAATCCTAGAGCCATGAAGATCTGGACTAAAAACAGAAATCAACAATCAAAATATAAACAACAGTCCCATCTGTTTTCTTTAATTAGGGGAACTGTAACAAACAATTATCAATAATTCCACATCAAGAGCAGCAGATTTGTCAAACCTGTACAGGATATATGGATTTTATGATGAATGTATGACATATTTAAATATAAGTATCTAGAGAGAAAAGACTTCAATGGAGTATTGTTCTGTATGTTGTGCTCATGAAGACGATATCCAATGGTTGACCGTAATACATGCAGCTGCACATTTATAAACTACTGGACGACTTGATCCAAAAAGAATATATGACGGTATAAACAAACAAATGTTTGCTGGTATCAAGTCTTATATGCACTGTAGTATGGGAATGGTACAGATAGAAACCAAGTTTTTCTATTTAATATCTGAATAAGATTTCATTATGCCTACGGGTATGAAAGTTTCATGAACTGGCTTAAAAAAGAACAAAAATTGTGAATGCCAAAATCTGGTAGGAAACAAGGTTTCAACCACATAGGACAACAGAAAAATAACAAAACTAGACTGACCATAGCCAAAAACAGACATAGTAAAGCTGAAAGGACACACACACACACAAAAGAAGAAGAAGAAGAAGAAGAAGAAGAAGAAGAAACACTAGGATCTTCAAAATAAGGCAAACTGATTGAAAATCAAGTTAGATTCCGTGAAAACACCAAAGAAAACAAAATGGAAAAACACATGATTAGCAACGCATGTTCTTGGACAAGCAATACAAATCAATTCAGATTCAAAGAGAAAATAAGAGGCTCCCCTAATCCCCTAAATAAAAGAAATGCTTCAACAAGTCTATAGATTGAACAATAAAACAGGTGAATAGTGGGATGTAACAGCAGTCCAAGAACCATTCAAACAAATCTTATCCCAGAAGTTGCATTGTTCTCTGAACTATGTTTTATTCTCCAAACATGTGACCAAAACAATAGATATGATCCTGATACAATATTCTAAACTAGCATAGGTGAATCTGATGAAAAAGAGAATAATCTACAGCCTAAGCTAAAGAATTGAGTGGTTTGGAAAAAGTGATATCTAGTTTTATTGAAGCAAAATTGGTAAGACTAACTAACAAAAAGCACGCCAATCAAGAACACCATCAACAACCACGAGTATAATATCACATCATCAAGAACCTGTAAGAAAGGAATAGATACTATACTACTATAATATACAGATTTTAAAGATGGCATCAGTGAAGTGGAGTAAGAGATAACAGACTTATCAGCAAGAAGAAATCATGATTTAATTAAGGCAAAATTTCACTTGCTAACAACGAAAAATAATTTTTTTTAATGATGGGAAGATTTTAGGATTTTTGCTGTTGTTTAAAATTCAAAGAACTGGGCATACAGTTCCATTTGAATGTGAGTTTGGGCACTCCAAGTTCAATTGACAGGCATTTGAGTTCAATTAACACATGAGATAGCATGGAATGTAGAGTTTAAAATATTGAATGTTCTTGACTATTTGCATGATATATTAAGATGCATATACGGCATGTGTCAATAAATATGATTCAATCGCACGATGAACTTTTTATTTGAATGCTAAGAAAATGTCAACACTTAATCATAACTTATATGTTTCCGTTTAGAGGGCCACACACACTTAGTGATACTAAAGGAATTCAAGTACTCCCATAGAGGATATGGTATAGAACTAATAGGGACTAGCATGATATCGAAAATTGGCAGTTTATTTGAGGTACATCAGTTGGCAACACTGATTCCCTGCTATAACTACAAGACAAAGTTGACCGCAAAAAAGATGATCCCCCTCGCACAAGGTGAGATATTACTTGGATTTTTCTACACCAAAAATAACAAATAAATCCTACCCCAAATTCTCAGGATAAGTTGCATCTGTATATTCTATATACAGGTTGAAGATTGGTAAAAAAACAATTGTGCGTGATAACATCTTTTAGTACTGACCATCCTCACACTTCTCTTTTTAACATGGTACAGTATACACCTTCCGCGAAAGGCAAGTAAAATGGGCTTTTAGCTAGTTTGGCAAATATTTCTTGAGAATATAGCATATAATGATAACAACTCAACACATTGAGAAATTTAAAGAAAAAAAGGCAACACATTGCATCATAATAATGTAAGGAGCTAAAAGCCAAAGGTACATAGAGGTTATCTAACCTTGGGAAGAGTAAGAAGACAAAAGTTTATCATAATCATATTTTCGTCGACATCATAAATTTTGGCTTCTTTTCTGCAGGCTTTAGAATTTGATCGACATCATAAATTTTGGCTTCTTTTCTGCAGGCTTTAGAATTTGAAAGGAGCACATCAAGGTTTCATCAACACTCATCATAGCATAGAATTTGAAAGGAGCACATCAAGGTTTCATCAACACTCATCATAGCAACAGCATTATCAAATTCACCACAGTAATTGGGTGCTGAGAATACAGTGACTAGTTGTCTATCTGCAAAGAACTCATAACCATCCTCCACAACCTACAATTTTTAAAAAAATTAATGTCAAACAAGACCCAGGCTTACCCAACAAGTTCAAAACAAGTATGAACAGTTTTTAACCTGATGTGCACGACAGACAAGATCCAGATCATGCTTTGTCAGGAACTCAGCAACTTTATCAGCACCAAAAGTGTACGAAACCCCTCTATCATTCATTCCCCATCCTTGAATTTCCCTACCAGGATCGGACCAAAGCAGGTCACACAACAAACCAGTATCAGGGACATCGGTAGGACGTGGTAAGCTTTTAATCTGGTCCAGGTTTGACAAATTTGGGGAAAGACCGCCATGCATGCATACTATTTTGTCATCTATAAGAGCAGCCACAGGTAGACAGTTAAAGCAATCAGTGAACACCTTCCATAGTCTCACGTTAAACCGACGCTTACACTTAATCAATAATTAGAGTATTTTACACAAAATCCATTGGCATAAGTCAATAGAAACGATCTGTGCCTCCTCAATCAAAAATTAAGGAAGATAACAACCGATCTCTACAAAATTCTTATGAAATAAATACTCCAATTTAAGGTAGAAACCCCAATTTAAGGAACGAAATCGCTCTAGAACCTTACTTCGATGCCAGGAATCGATCTTACAAGCTCATCTACGACACGAGCAACAGATTCGCGTTGAGATCTTTGCAACAATCATTGGATCAAAAGAAACAACAAGAAACATCAGATCCGATACCCGATCTAGGGTTTTGATGAGTCTTGGTGATTTCGTACCTGATAGACGACGAAAATGTCACCGGCGTGAAGGAAGCAGGCGAGGCGCCAAGTCCTCGAGAGCGGCGCGGATGGAGAGGGCAGCGGTTGTCCCTCTGAATCATGAAATTTGGGAATGAATTGAGGCGGCGATTGGTGATTTTATTTCAGAGTATGAGAATTTAGGCGGGGAAATGAAATTTGGGGATGAAATTTTGGGGGGAAGAACTGAGGGTTTAGATAGTTTTCAACGGGCCTGTTTTAATTTTCAGTCTCTAAGTACTCATAGCGTTTAAAAATTTTCAAACGCTATCAAAAAATAAGACACATACTATCTATAGCACTTACAACATAAACGCTATCATTCAACGCTATAAAAAAACAATTTTGTTGTAGTGCACATAGCAGGGATCTGATGCAAAGCTGAAATACGACGTCTCCTGCGCTGATAAACATGTCGAAACTCTCGTGTACGTGCCTGGATGTCCGTATCATTCTCCCTAGGTGAGAGAGAACTCGACCCTGTCGATTCAGGGGTAGAAAAACTATCATATCGCTCCAGAAGGTCAGGATCAATACGCTATAAATCACTGCGGTTGAGCCACGTATCCTCAGCACCTCTGCGGAGCGGTCTTGGGGCAGCTACACGTTGATAATACTGTCCTGATAATTTTGATACATGGACAGTGAGAGTCCGCTTCCCAGGTACTTCTCTTTTGAGATTTATTCGTACCCCCAGCCTGATAGTACAATTCATCGACGTTGCGGTCTGAGTAACCTATCGGCTGCTTACATGGATTCTCATGTATAACGCGTTCGTCTGTCTGAAGCGTTTTCCTCTGAGCAAACATTGCCTTGTTGGCATCTACAGGAGTCACACTTTTGGAATCACACCCTTGTGAGGGTGAAACCTTAACAGGCTCCTGGTTTTCTGCACGTACCTCCAAGCGGGCTGTTGTAAAAATTAATTTGTTAGGAGGTCGCGTACGACCCCCAGTCCGGATGTTTGCTCGAAGCTCCTTCAACGGTCTCAAGCTTTCCTTAAAAGGCGCTTTTCCTCGATCCTCAGGCAGAGAACCGATGCGATTCTTCAATGGGACTTTAGCTTTGGGGAGACCCACGTTGTCATAGAGCTTCACCGGAAGTGCGGGAGCAGGGTCTGGAGTACGTACACTCCAGCGGGCTGCTTGTAAAATTTAATTTGTGTAGGAGCGGTCCCGTACGGACCCCCAGTCTGGATGTTGCTCGAAGCTCTTCAACGGCTCAAAGCTTTCCTTAAAGGCGCTTTCTCCGATCCTCAGGCAGAGAACCGATGCAATTCTTCAATGGGACTTAGATTTGGGAGACCCACTTGTCATAGAACTTCACGAAAGTGCCTGGAGGACAGGGTCTGCGAGTTACGAAGGCCGGAGAGCCATCGCTCGTCTGCTTTATGCCTTAGCGGCTGATTTGGCCTTGGCATCCAGACTTGCTTAGACTGGTGGTTTTTTGGCACCTTTCCTTCTGCAATCATTTGCCTTCCGCTACAAGAATCATCTGCGGCCGCTAAACAGTGCGCGAGTTTATGGATGCGCTCCTTAAGAGTTGAACGGTTCGTTTGACATCGAACCCATTCATTAGTAGGTGGATGCGAGGAGCCGCTTCCAAAGATTGTTGCACGGAACACTTTGCGCCTTCTGCCGTTTTCAGATCCGTATCATAACAGATCCCGTTCAACAGACTCCAAAGCCTTGGCAAATTGACGCGCGAGATATTGACCGGCCGCCTTTGATGAGCCCTCTCGTCACACACTGGTGTTGGCCACTTTCAAACGCGGCAAACTCCTTGACTTTCGAGAGTTGTCACGAACGTTGAGATCTGTTTCTTTGAAGTCGGCGGATCGTTGCGAGGTGTAACTACAGCAGCGACGGCGGAGAGATCGTCTTCTTGGGTCTTCAAATCTAAAGACCAGCGGATCTTCCTGGAGGAGGAGGCCTTCCTGCACCTGCAAGGAGAGGCAGATCTGGAGGATGAGGAGGAGACATACTCATCGAACTTCTGCTGGTCGAACTCGTATTCGACCTCTTCGAGCACCGGGATCTTGATCATCGGCTGCGGCACGACAGCTCCGGCAGCGAAGCTGTTGGCTCCCACTGTTGTCGCCAGTTTGTTTGCGGTGAAAGTTGATTTCTTCATTGCTATCGAATCTATTACAATTTTAGTCGTTACAATAAACTCGAATGAAATAAAAAGTTGATCTTTTTATAAGATCTCCTTACACAATGAAAAGAAAAAAGTTTATAACTTTATCAAACAAACGCAGAGATCTGCCTGTGCCGGGGTTTATCCGTGGACCACCGTCGATCAGATCTGATTGCTGAAAAATTAGGCAGAGCTTCGTCTATCCGCGAAGGGATCGAGAAATCGTAGCTCTTATCTCGGCGAAGCGAGATAATCACTCTTCTTAAGATTACCACAACGGAATAATCTTAAGGAACGGATCTGGGAAACTGTAGATCTGATGAATCTCTCTCTTGCGTTGAAGAACTGGATCCGATCTCTCCTCCTCCTCTCTAAAATCCGTGCACCTTCAGTCTTCAATCCGACAGGGCTTCGTCTAATCTCTAAAATTCCAGATCTCCAAAAAATGAGGCCTAAGGCTTGTATTTATAGGCTTCAGGGGATAACAGAGTGGTTAAAAACACTTAAAGGCCCAAATCTGTCTTGGAGACACCCTAGGGTGTCTCCATTTGATCTGAGACACCCAAGGGTGTCTCGGCCTTAGCCGAGACACCGTAGGGTGTCTCGTTGGTCCGAGACACTCCATTGAGGTGTATTCATCCGCTTCCGCTGTAAATTCTTCGTCCGAACTCGGATTTGAGTGATTCGAAGTGCGTTGGAAAGCCGACAAGGAGTTCTATCAGCTCCGATGAATGAGACACGAAGGGCATTGTTCCTTTTGTAAACATCGTGGGGCTCCCGATTAGCCCGTACCTTCGTTAGTTCACATAGTTCGTCGATTCACTTCAATCGTTCATCGACATCAATCGAACTCCTGTGGACCGGATAGTGACATTCATCGTCGTTCCTTAACACTGAGCTGTTCATGAAGACCTATAGGCAATTTTCGATGCCTACAGTTATTTGTCTAGTATTTTTGTTTTTCTATTTATTATAGACAAATAATGTGTTGGAGGATGGATGGACTAGAGCTTTCACGATCATATCCAATAGAGATTAGCAGAATAGTGGAATGAAGCAATACATTTCAAGTCGAGATCCAAGTTCAAGCTTCACCGCAAGTTTACCAAGAAGATCTCATTGAAGATCAAGTTGCTTGGGTAAGCACTACTCCGGCCGTCTTGATACTTAGTCTGTGCCCCGTCACGCCCAGTACGCTCCACAGCGCGTCACATGATCACATGGCACGCCATACCGTCTCTGGTGGTATATATGCTATAGTATACCGCCAACGCCGGCTACTCGATAGACCTGTCTAGTACCGTAGTACGCGCTACTATAACTATAAGTATGATATATTATATAATGATATATCTATATATATATAGTATATATAGTATTGGTAAGTACAAGAATTGTGCTTAGTAGTAATGGTGTCACATCCCATCCACTCGACACCCATGTGAATGTGGTGCCCGCATTTGAATGAGTGGAGAGGCGCATGTGACACCTCACTACCAAGGGGCATTACTTTTTGTGCTTGGTAAGAAGTATTCCTTTTTCTCATATATGAATCTACTACGCCTCACTAATAACCTACCCTCCGGACCTACCTACCACGTATATGCTGCGTACGTACGCCTCAGGCGTATCCCCCGTATGAATACTATCACGCCTCGAGACTCACTAGCGTACCGTACTACCTACTCGTACTACCTATCGACCCTAGTATAGCTAGTATACTGACTCACGGACTCCTACCTACCTACCGCGAGTACCCTAACCGCCTACTAACGTACCCCGCCTACTTCGCTTACCCAGCGCTATCCACGCTCAATAGTTAAAATAATATAAATAAAAATAGTATATAAAATAAATAAAAAAGATTATGATTATTATACATGTTTTGGTTTTATAGTTTTCAAGTTTAAATACGGAACAAGTGAATATAATTGAAAAATACATACTTGTTTCATGTTTATATGCTTATATATGATTTCATCAATATCAAGTTTATTTAATTCAATAAAATCATGTTTTATTGCATAATATGTGTATTTTGATAAAACATTATGTTTTTGGTTTATAGATTTAACAATAATAGTTTATATCTTTTATCAAGTCTATAATCATTTTATAAAGTTTCAAAACATGGTTTAGTCAAAACATTAAATTTCAAGTATGTTTATTTTTATGTTTTGGACTATTTTAAAAAATAATAAGATTTCTCAAATGGGAAATGCTTTTTGAAAACTATTTTTTGTAACATGTTCATTTTTATGTTTATAATTATTTTCTAAAGTTTTACATTTTTATGAATTTGTTTACTATTTTTAAATCAAGTTTAAAAGTCAGAAAACTATTTTCAAAACCTATGTATCTGATATATCTGTCCGCGGTCGACCGGAGTGGTCGCGGCGGTCGACCGTGAATTATCCAGAGACTTTACTCTGGTTTTCAACCTTTCGCGGTCGATCGACCATGGCGCTGCGGTCGACCGTCGAAGTAGTCGTTGCACAGTAACGACTAGTTTCCAATTTTGTTTTCTTATGGGTTTTTGGTCATTTTCTTTGGGTTTTTTGTTGTTCGTTGTGAGGTTATAAATACCCCATTACATTTAACTCTCCACCCAAACTAGGAAAATTATTTATACAAGTTTACAAAAGAGTTTAAAGGTTTTATGTTTGTTTTAGTGTTTGTTTGGTTTGTGAAGAAGTTTTCACTAGTGGAGAAGATCGTCTTTATTGTTTGAGCTTCAATATCCATCTCTCCATCTTGTTTTTAGAGAAGAATTTCTAAACTCTTTTCTAGCTCTTTATTTGTTTTGATTATAATTTCTATTAGCTAGAATTATATTGAGTTTAGTTTTGATTTATCTCTTTGTTACACACACCCATATTGAGCTTTTAGTATTTTCATACATAGTATATTTGGATTTATGAGATTGTAACTTAGACTTAGATTT